TTTATCTCTTTGCAAGTGCTTGCATTTCTTTCGCAATTGGTTGGCATTGTCTTTCATTGAGAATTTGCACTTGGGAAATGACCAGGATCGTAACAATTGGCATCGGAGCGAACTTACTTGCTGGCGAGAGGTGTTAGTCACCCTAACCCTAATTCCGAATTAGGTTAGGGCTAACCTAAACTCGGATTAGGGTTGGAAGTTAGGGTTAAGTGGGGCAGCGAGGTATGGGGATGCTGCCCCCACCTGGTTAGGTCATGTAGGGTTGGCATTGGACCCAACCAGGTTGCTTGAGTGGATGTATGGGGTGGCGAGATACAAAGGAGGTTGTTTGGAGTAAGCGAGAGGGAGTAGAGAGTGAGAGGTACTCACACCTGGAATCTGGACTTAAGGAAGACAATGACTGACTTTCGGGCTTCCCCTCAAGAGGGAGACTTGATCGGAGGCTGCCATATCTGCATCGGATCACTGCAAGTTGCTACTTTGGTCTTCAGGCATCGACGGGAGATCCGGCTTTGCAACAGGGGTGTAGGAAGGCCCTCTTAGTCGTGCTAGGACACTTCGTGTAGTGGTAGCTAGGGGTCAGGAGGACTTATATGAGAGGGGAGTGACTCGTTATCCATCTTTGGAGGCCGGGCCTCACAGGTAAGTGTCGTGTGACCTGGGTAAGCCCGTGGGAGGTTGCTTGGTGCTTCATGGCCTGTCGGGGGTGTGCTGAGTTCTCTTCCTCTTCTATGCGGTCTTGATTGTGTGTGTGAGCTTGTGGATTGCTTTCTCACCTGATGGATGGATGGATGATGTATCTACTCTAAATGGCATACCTTTATACGGTGCATTGTCTTTTCATTTCTGAACGGCTGTAGAAGTAAGTTCTTACTGAAAGTTGTCTTTTCCTTTCCAGTACGGTAGAGGCAGTTTGGGACCGACTTGGTACCCCTATCACGTTGGTCCTGGTCCACGGCCTACTTGGGACCACTCGAGACCCAGTGGGACCAGGCCCAACGGGACAGGACCTTTTGGGCCCAGATCTGTTGCCGCCAGTGCATTTCTTTGTTGTGCTGGATTTGGGGGACATACGGACAGCAAGGGCATTCCTTTCAAGGGGATCTTGACTGGCCKTACCGCATGTTAGCACATACTGCCCCGCGTCTGAYTCGRYRACCATYTGCACCCCTCGAAATCTCCATTGCTGCAGATTAGTCTTCTTCGTCTGATTTATTGTGATGCATGTCCCCTGTCAGGTTAGACAAGAGGGGATCTCCAGCTGATCTGATCGGGCCCGTTCTATAAATCAGACCTCTCTGCTGTTTTATTTTTTTATTTTATTTATTTTTCTGTTGCGTGCCACGCTCTAAGTCCAAATGATTCGCCGCTCCGGCTAGGAGTTCTACCTTCTTCTCTGAGTGGTTTTCTGTTTGTTTCTTTTATCTGAACTATCTATGTCCGGTATCGAGACGCGTGCGCAGACAGCGAAAAGAGAGTAAAGGGATAGAGAAGGTGTGTTGTTTGAAAGTGTGAGAAGCGGCAAGAGGAGTGTTCGTCCAAACGTAAGGAGAGAGCGGACCCCTCTTGAGAGTTTGACACCCCTTCCTCCGGCATGGCGGTCATCACATCTGCCCAATGGCAGGCCATGCTGGACGCAGCAAACAAGAGCCAGAAACCGTTCTTTCAAAAGTTGTATGACGAAGCCGTACAGAAGGAAAAGGAGGCCGAGGCAGCGGCTAGAGCTACAAACATAGCTGCTCAGGAGGCCCTCCTACAGGTCCCGGAGGCCGATGCTGACCGGTTCCAGGAGAGGCTAGCTGCTGCCGTCGCAGCCTTGGTTCGACTGCGGAGCTTGGAAGATCTCGAGGCCCGCGTAACAGCGCTGGAGCAGCTGAACCAAAAGCTGCAGGCTGAGATAACCAGCCTAAAACAGTCCCAATTGTCTGTCCCCCGCCCTCCTAACCCTCGGTCTGCTGTAGTCCCGGTCTCTCAATCAAACACAACCCTCATAGTAAGATCAAGTGGAACCATGGCAAGCGCAGGAACCGGCGCCAGCTCGTCGAGCGGCAGCGCCGGCAGTTCTGCGCTGGTCATGGTCCCGAGTGCAGGGACTTCAACCCAAAACGCAACAGTCCTTACTGGCGTTCAGTACAACGGTCCCATGGTGGACAAGCGGGCGGCCACGCTGCCGTCCAAGTACGACAGGAAGGCAGACATCACCTCTTGGATTAATTCCATGCGGTCGTATTTCGAGGTCATGCGGACACCGAAAGAGGACCGAAGTATGATCATGGGGACTAATACAGAGCCTGCCGTACGAAACCACATTGAGCTCCAAGCTGTCGCTGCAGGCTATGAACGCATAGACCTGACTGATTGGCTGAAGGTCACCCCTGTCCACGCTCTTGAGGATCTTCTCCTTGACCGGTACCAAGATAAACATGCTGCGGTCAAGGCTAGACTGAAGCTTGAGGCCCTCAAGGGCCAAACTTGGAGGTCAGCCATGCAGGCTTTGGAACAGCACTTGACTGGTCTGTTCACCACTCCGGATCTGGGAATGACTGACGTATCTTGTATGAATGTAGTCATGGGAGTGGCCCCTAAAGAATACCTCTCCCTGCTAGCACTCAAGGACCATGCCACCTGGCGAGAGCTCATGAAGGACCTAGTCAACCTAGAGGCCAAGGACCTCGCCAGGCGCAAGAAGGCGCCCGCTGCAGGTGGGAAACCACAACGCAAGCGGTTTGGAAGCAGCAACCAGCTTGCACTGCACGATCATCGGGGGGCTGAAGATCAGTCCTATGCGGATGATCTGTCTCTAGATGACGATCTAGAGCCGGACTCCGATACGGGCTGTTTCGCATCAGCCATTGAGTGTGACAGAAATGACGATGAAAAACTTAATGCATTCAGAAAGACTGCTTCAAATAAGGGGCCTAACCGTGGTTCGGGTAAGGGAACTATCATACACCTTCCCAAAAATGCTAAGATCCCTGAGAAACCGGAGGACGCTTCTACCAAGTCTTGGGAAGCTTTCCGCATCACTCAAAAGGAATGGGAAAAAAGATTCAAACTGCGCGTATGCTTGCATTGTCAAAAGCCTGGGCATGTTGTGCAGGATTGCTATCGTCTTCAGGGAGACAGGCAAGGGGCGTAGAAGAGTCATCAGCACTCTCTACAACAAGGGAAGCTGAGCAGTCAACTGCAGGCCCTTCCAAGGAGCCTGGATCTGGCCAGCAGCTTGCTCTTGAAGCCCGAACTAATGCTGATTCCGAGGCTGGTGCAGTCCAAGCGTTATACACAAAGCCTTGGGAGGAGTCTAGAGAAGTTGACCTCCACGCCCACATGGAGCATTAGCTGCAGCTCAAGCAGCAACGCCGTGTTAAGGGGAGCGCGGAGCTGACTTTCTTTAAACTGCTCATTAACCGCCGATACATCCGTGTGCTGATTGACAGTGGTTCTCTCCGAACGGGATTCGTAAGGCGGGCCTGGGTATGAAGCAAGTGGAACTGCAGAACCCTTGCCGGACTCAGGTGGGCAACCAAGAGGTTGTCACTTCCACTCATGCTGTCAAAGGTGTGCGCATCACCTTTGACAAAGATCGCACTGTCACACATGAGCTAAATTTTTATGTCCTGGACAAGTGTCCTTTCGACGCGGTCATTGGCTTGGGCTGGCTAAAGGCTCATTGCCCAAGGACCACGTGGGCAGACAATCAGTTCGTGGTACTACCACCTCTGCTTCTAATCCATCTACTTCTACTGTGAATAATCCCTCTACAGTTGTAATTGCTGTAAATTCTTGAACTGATTTTCTTTCTCCTGATGAGGATGATCCTCTGCCAGAAATCCCGACAAACATTCGCCAGCTATTAGATCGATTCCCTGAAGTTTTGGCCGAACCTCATGGAGTTCTCGAGCGTCCGGTCAACCACAAAATCGAGATAATAGAAGGGAGTGTTGCTCCAAAGGGCTGCGTCTACCGTATGGGACAAGGCGAGTTGGAGGAATTGAGAAGGCAGATTGATGATATGATTGATCGTGGATGGATTAGGCCCAGTGAGTCTGAGTTCGGTGCACCTGTCTTGTTTGTGCCAAAAAAAGGAGGCAAACTCCGGATGTGTATTGACTATCGTGGCCTTAATCGGATCACTAGAAAGAATGCTTACCCTTTGCCTCGCATAGATGATCTGCTAGACGCGGCAGGTGTGTGTAAGGTCTTCTCCAAGGTCGACCTCAAATCTGGTTACCACCAGAATGAGGTTGATCCCAGTGACCAGCACAAGACTGCATTCTAAACACGCTATGGGCTGTACGAGTTCATCGTTATACCCTTCGGTCTTACGAATGCGCCGGCCACCTTTCAGTGCCTCATGGACAAGGTACTTCGCCATCAACTTAACAGGCTTGTGGTTGTGTACCTTGACAATATCCTGATCTTCAACAAAACCATGGAAGAGCACCTCAAGCACCTTCAGGAAGTTTTGCAGGTCCTCAAGGAGACGCAGTTGCACCTCAACTTAGAGAAATCTGAGTTTGGGAGGACAGCGTCATCTATCTTGGGCATCGGTTGTCTGCGAACGGCCTTGAGCCGGTGGCAACCAAGGTTGAGATCGTTCGAAACTGGCCTCAACCAGCAAATGTACGCGAACTGCGTTCTTTCCTCGGTTTGGCCTCGTATTACCGGAAGTTTGTGCCCAAATTCTCTGTCATTGCTCACCCTCTCTCCAGACTAACCAGCAAAAATGTTGCCTATGCATGGTGTGAGAAGTGTGAGTCTGCGTTCCAAGCCTTGAAAGAGGCATTGGTGAGTCATCCTGTGCTTCGCATTGCAGATCCCAACCTCACGTTCGTAGTCACTACGGATACGAGCCAGTTTGGGATTGGTGCAGTGCTGCAGGAAGATGATGGGGATGGCATGCGTCCGCTCGAGTATTACAGCAAACGCATGCCCAGCCACAAGGTAGCTACTTCCACGTATATGCGTGAGCTTTACGCCCTGCGCGAAGCCCTCGCACATTGGAAGCACTACCTCTTGGGTCGCCACTTCAAGGTCTACTCTGATCATCAGACCTTGCAGTGGATTCAGACACAATCTGAACCCTCTCCTACATTGACCCGCTGGTTGCATGGCATTGATGTTTACAGTTTCGAGTTGAAACATAAGAAAGGCTGTTATAACCGGGTTGCTGATGCATTGTCCCGCCATCCTGAATTCTTGACTTGCCTTGTGGGTTCATACGACGTTCGAAGGAAACTGAAGGAGGATCTGGCTGAACACACCGCCAAGGATCCTGACCTCAGTCCCATCCTTGAGCAGCTCAAGGCTGACCCTAACAGTCGGCCTGATTTTCAGGCATGCGAGGGTCTTGTATTCCGCCGGTATGGGAAGTTTGACCGTTTGTGTGTACCCAACCATGCGCCTCTCTGAACTCATTTCTTGGATTTGGCACATGGTCGGAGTGGACATTTTGGCTTTGAGAAGACTTATCGAAGTCTTCTGCAGCAATTTGATTGGCCAAGAATGAAAGGATCTGCTCAGAAATTTATTGCTGAATGTCAGGTATGTCAGAGAACCAAAGTCCATAGGCATAAGCCTTATGGCCTGCTGAGACCCCTCCCCATTCCTAATGGACCCGGTGAATCGATCTCCATCGACTTCACGGACATGGGAAAGGTGAGTGCGGCAGGGAATTCACAAGTCATGGTCATCGTGGATTGTTTCTCCAAATTTCTGATTTTGATCCATTTCCCTCCCCATGCACCAACTGAACTTGTCATTGAGGAATTCCATCAGCAGTACATTTTGCAGTTTGGCGTCTCGAAAACTATTGTGAGTGATCGGGACACCAGATTCATCAGCAAAGATTGGAAGGACTTCACGTCGCAGATCTATGACATTAAACTGAACAAGACTTCTGGTCGACACCCCGAAGCCAATGGATTGGCTGAGGAGATCAACCAGACTGTCATCCAACTACTTCGCGCATTGATTGTTCCAAATCAGAACACGTGGGACAAGGAGCTGCACAAGGTCAAGGGACTCTATAACAATTCCATTCACTATGCAACTGGCGTGACACCAAACCAGCTGCAGTATGGATGGCCGATGCGCAATCCCCTCTCCTATCTGTTCCCCGAACGGTCACCTGGCCTGATGCCCGGCATGCCTGGCTACAATGCCAAGTACGCATGCTTGCTCAAAGTTGTTATTGCAGCCATGAACAAGCGCCAGCATGCCATGATCAAACATGCTAACAAGCTGCGCAAAGAAGAGAAATTATAAGTAGGGGATTATGTTTGGGTTAAAATGTCTGAGTTTTCTGATGAAGAGGGCATATCACGCAAACTCCTTCCATTGTACTATGGCCCCTGGGAGATTCTGAACGTGATTGGGGATGATTTTGGTCCTTCATATGTGATTGACGTGCCTCCTCATCTACGCACGTACCCGGTCTTTCATGCGTCCAAACTGTTTCCACATATTGATGATGAGACGTTTCCATTCCGAGACCCTATGATACCTCGCCCCATCGACGGCGGCCATGAGATAGACCGAATCGTTTCTCACGAAGGAAGAGGGAGGAACAGACAGTACAAGGTTCACTGCCTCTATCACCCGTTAACTGAATTCTTCTGGATCGACCGAAAAGAGCTGCTAAAGAGTGCTCCCCGTGTCGTGAACGCTTATGAACGACAGATCGCTGACAGACTGACTGCTAAATTCGTTGCAGAAATGACTCCTCACAGACTGACTAAGTCTCTCCTTTTGATCTAATCCTACGAAGCATTCTGTGCCAACTCTGATTTAGTTACTCGCTCGAAGGGACCTCACTCTTGAGAGGGGGGTAATGTAATGACCCGCCAAAAACACAGACTGAGAACACTGCTGATTTCTGGGATTTGCCGCTGGAATGAATGCCTTGTTGAAATTCCCGCATTCTGTTGTGATTTTCATGTCTGTGTGTGTGTGCGTGCCTGCTGGTTTGCATGCCTGTTTGAGTGCTTGACGGTTGAGTGTGTGTGTGACCCGCAAGGGTACTTGTTGGTTGCAAGGCCCCACAGGGCCGGTACTTACCTGTGGCCGTGACTCAAAAGGGTTGCAGGGGGAAAACACTCGAGTAGCGGGGGTAGGCCCGCGGCACAGCAGAGGGGAAAAACACTCAAGTAGCAGGTAGGCTGGTACCACTGAAGTAGTGGTAGAAGTGTCGGGTACTGGAGGCCGAGCAAAAGAAGACAAAAAGTTGGCATTTTTAGAGGTCAAGTAGCGGTAGGTTAGAGGTAGGCCAGTACCAGTCCAAGTAGCCCGGGTCTAGGGCCTGTGCGGACGATAACAAAGCCTGCAATGATGTTTCCCTCCGAAAGGGAGGAGGTACCGGTTGCTGGGAGGCCACTCGGCCTAGGAAGTCACCGCCCAGGAGGCCGGTAGGCCGCTATATCTTCAGGAAGAGCGGAGAGCTCTTCCTCATTTGCGGTATGCAAGGATTGGCAACATGCTGCTGGAGCGCAGCGCTGGTCTGGTACAGCGCTGCTCGGAGGTGAAGGGCCGCTGGAGCTCAGCCTAGCTATGGCGAGCACTCCAGCTTGAGGAGGAGGAAGAAGAGGGCATGGTAGGAGAGTG